GAGGCTGTTGCGTACAATATTAAAATCCATGAGTGACTTGGACAATAAAGTATGAACTACGTTGGCCCTTATTTCATTTGCCATTTTATGTTATTGGCCCTGATTAACTCAAGGACATTTTAAGTGGGGGGACCAAGTGTCGGTGGACATTTTTTTGGTGGACATTTCTTCGTGAAAGCGTGCTCAGGGGTGGATGATTGCTGATCGCTGCAGAACTTGCAGTAGCGGGTGGAGAGGTGGGGGAGAGCCTCAGCGTGCTGCAGGGCAGCCCCTTTTGTTGACGTGGCACAACGCCGTACAGGTCTGAGCGTGTACTGAGCGCAATGAGGCTCGCGCAAAATGAACCGTACAAGTAAATACACGATTAAATAATTCGACAGCTAACCTATCATTTTTATTACAATGCCTTGACATGGTTTTCAAGAAATTCTGTACAGAGTCCTCAGGGTTACAACACAAATATGCGAATATGCAGCTGTATTCACCGCAAACATCAGAAGTGTCACTTTGAATTCTTTGCTTAATATTATACAATAATCCGCCATTTAAACCAATAAATTTAATAAAGTAAGGGTTAGAAGTACTACCGCCCAGACAATCATATAATTCCACTCCACTTAAATTATTAGGTAACAAGCAGGCCCGCCCTTCCGCCAAACGAAGTTGCCAGCTTCGCTTCGCTGCGCCGGCAACTCCGTTCGGCAGGGGCCGGGCCTGCTTGGCCTGCCGGCGGCGATGGTCGGGCCTGCGGCCCGACCATTTTTGTCACGCGATTTGCTGTAGAACATAATCAAATGATGTAACGGGCCTTCGGCCCGCAAAGCACGTCGTCCTTAAAATTTGCCCCCGACACGAGAAAGGGATGTAACGGTAAAACACCGCAACTACAACCCACCCTTCTGCTTAGAAAACGTTTTTGGGGTGGGGGGAGGGAGTTTCTTACCCGTTTTGCGGTTATGGGCCTTCTTTTACATTTAATTGTTCACTGCAGCAATTTAACTTATTTTCGTCAAACAAGACCCTCTAGCGCCTAAACGGTGAGAGACAGAGCAAAACGGACGAAATTTTCGCCCGAAGGGCTCTACTTTGATGAGTTACCCCTTAGGAGGCCATCCAATAGTTTCGGAAATTAATAAATTTATTTTTGGGCCACTTTCGTGATAGAAACTCCCTCTAGCGCCTAAACGGTGAGAGACAGAGCAAAACGGACGAAATTTTCGCCCGAAGGGCTCTACTTTGATGAGTTACCCCTTAGGAGACCATCCAATAGTTTCGGAAATTAATAAATTTATTTTTGGGCCACTTTCGTGATAGAAACTCCCTCTAGCGCCTAAACGGTGAGAGATAGAGCAAAACGGACGAAATTTTCGCCCAAAGGGCTCTACTTTGTTGAGTTAACCCTTAGGAGCTCATAAAAAAAATATTTTTTTCTGACTTTTTTGACCTACCCCCTTTTCTTTGATACCCCCTTTCAGCCCCTTAGGGTTGGTTGCCAGGATTTGCCGTAGGCGTTTCGTTTTCTAGG